ACACTGCAAACTCAGGTGCAACCCATCATGGAAAATTATATTTAAGGTAGCTAATTGCGGTTTTCCTTGATTCGCTACTGAAAAGTAGCAACATGCAAACCTCAAAAGAACTAAAAACTAGGATAATTTGTCAATATGAATTAGGAGCCGGATACAAAATTTTTCACGAAGGTTTAAGGTCTCTGCCTCCACAGTCAGAGATATATTTAGAAAATAGAAGGCCACAGGAACAGTCATTGTCAAGGAAAGATGTGGTAGGCTAAGAAAAATATCTGAAAGAAGAATGAAGAATGGTTAGAGTGGTCACAGACCACCTCCAAAGAGCTCCAAGAACATCTGCCTGCTGATAATGTCATTGTACATTGTTCCACAGTCCAGGGCATTTTGCACAAAAAACAGCTCAATGGAAAGGTGATGTGGAAAAAAACTTTTCTGCACTGCCAACAAGCATAGTTGTTAGAGGTATGCAAAAGCTCATCTGGACAAACCTGAATTATTTTGGAATGTCCTGTAGACAGATGAAACTAAGAGTTGTCACAACCAGAAGCACTTTGCATGGTGGAAAAGAAGAACCTGCTCCCTACTGTTGGTAACGTGGTATCAGTATTTAAGCAGATTCTTAATAACAATGATCAAGATTCTGTCAAGAGCTTGAAGTTATGCCGGGGTTGACGGTGACCCAAAGCATTGCTCCAAATCTACAAAGGAATTCATGCACAGACACAGATACACTGTTCTACAATGGCCATCCCAGTCCCCAGACTTGAATATCATCGAAAATCTATGGATTGATTTGAAGCAGGCTGTCCATGTTCGGCAGCCATCAAACCAGCAGACATTTTGCAAGGAAGAATAGTAAAAATACCTGCAGTCAGCAGAATTCAGAGACTTATCAGTGGCAATAAGAAGTGTCTATTTTAGCAAAAGGTGCCTATAGTAAATATTGATGTCGTTATTCCACTGGGGTGCCCAAATTTATGCACCTGTCCGTTGTTGTTATTATTCACATTGCATTGTTTCTGTTGATTCAATAAATGTTATTTCAAAATTGAAATGTTACTGTATAAATTATATCCGAATGAAGTTGCTGCTTCAAAAGCCTAGCAGATTATAAATTAAAATTATGATAGTGCCAAGCGTGCCATAGAAAGCCTGGTAAAGAAACTCAAAGAGAAAAGAGATGAGCTCGACTCCCTCATCACTGCTATCACCACAAATGGAGTCCATCCAAGCAAGTGTGTCACCATACAAAGAACTCTGGACGGACGTTTGCAGGTCAGAGCACTACCGGCCCACATCATCTGTTTTGACACACATTAATCACACTTAATGAAAATCAGACAACGCGTGATCTGGTGTAAAAGTTCACAGTATATAAGACCATGCTAAACGAGCGTCTACTCTGCTGAAATCTAGCTAGCTGTAAATGTTGATTCAGCTGGTATGGTGCTGGTCAACCAACATATCCATGCAAAACTTAGCTGCCAACACTATTCAGCCAACTGGTTAGTGACTTCTGATGAAGCTGGTTGACCAAGGAAGCAAGTTAAAAGCTAGTTAAGAAGCCTGGTGGGGAGACAAGCTGGGTACCAGAATCGAAAACACAACATATATACTGAAATAAAATTAAAGCTATATATATATATATATATACACATACATGCATATATACATATATATATATATATATGTATGTATGTATGTATGTATGTATCAAATCAAAATGAAAAAAGCATGCAACAAAATTAGTAAAACTGAAACTAAAATTAAATTGAAAGCTGAAAAAATAAAAATAAAAGCCTATTCAAAATAATAATATGAATAATCAAGCGTAGTGTTAATTCTGGCAGGTCACGTTAGTCAAGCTCGCATCAGCTGACTCTCAGCTGCTCCCCATCTACCTATAGGAATATGACACCTATCTAAGCATTCATATATAAGTATTGAACTCAGTATTATCAGCAGTTTTCGCATTGCTCAGTAGCTAATTACCCTCCTCCATCCCCAGCTCCTCCTCTGTCAGTCAGGATTCAGCCTTCTGATTGTCCTTTGAATCAGACTAATTCTAAAATGTGTACATAAAATTATTGAACTTTAACGATATCTGCAATACATTTATGTTGGTTCTGTTCTGTTTACCCTGGGGGGGTTATCGCTGCTCTCCCTGCTCTCATCCATGCTAGGCTGCATGGATGCGCAGAAAGTTCTTGCCCAGAACAGAACCATACCGCTAATTGTCAATCATCTTTGACGATAGTGGTCCTGACAGAACTATAGTAGTATATAGATGATGCAAAAATAACACTGAAACTTGCATGCCAAGCAATGCAGTTTTTTTTCTTCTTCAGCAGGGTAATATTGTATACCAGGCTGTTGGAATCATCTTACACACAAATAGGCTTTTATTATGGAAAAGCCCAATCATTTTTCAGTGTTAATTATTTCTCTGAATGTGACTGACATAGTATAAACAGGGTATGTGGCCAGTTCTCCACTTCAAATAAAATCTGAACATAAACAATATCAGATAAAGCTCCCGCATGTCAGCGTTAATTACATGTCAATATACAGAAAAAGACACAGCAAATTTTTCCTAGAGGTTCCATGCCACTTCCATGACAGACGTGACTGCGCTTGTCATCTACATTATAATGATTTTCAAGAACAAAATTGAAACAGATTCACTTAAAGAGCCAGTTAACCCAAAAGGCATGCATAAACACTTTTACTGACAAATAAATAGTCACATCATCTCATAATGGTTTCTAATACAGTGTGACATTTTGTTATGTGATCTTTTATACATTTATAACCATCAAAAAGTGAAAGTGACGTGACGTGGCCAAGAATGGTGACCCGTACTCGGAATTAGTGCTCTGCATTTATCCCCTCCACACACTGTGAACACACACCCGGAGCAGTGGGGGGTTCCGTGCCTTGCTCAAGGGCACCTCAGTCGTGGTATTGAAGGTGGGAGAGAGCGCTGTACATTCACTCCCCCCCCACCTACAATCCCTGCCGGTACTAGACTCGAACCCCGCAACCTTTGGGTTACGAGTCCGACTCTCTAACCATTAGGCCACAACTTCCCCCAGGTATGAAAACCTTTTCTCACAAAATAGTCATTTCATGGTTTCAGAGAGAAGAGAGGTCCGTGGAGAGTAAGACAGAGTTTTCCCTTCCCCCAGCTGTAGACGGGGAGAGAGGCGGGTGGAGGGTGAGGAAGGGTTGTTTTGTCTGAAACACAGGAAAGGGGCAGGGCCAAGCTTAAGCCTGTCTGTCTCACAGTCTGTGTATGTGGGAGAGAGACGACTGTGTCAGTATTTGAAGCATGAGTGCAATGTGTTCAAGTAGGACATTTATGCAACAAGTTGTAAAAGTATCTGTGCATCAGTATGGATTTGAGCTGAACTCTGTTTCATGTCAAGCACAGCTATTAGGGTTTGTTAGTGGTGAAATGCGATGTTTATGAAAATGAGAGAGTTCTGAGAGTTTAATATGGTGCTCTGTCTGTGTGTGAGTTTGTAAAACGTAATGGGTTTGGCAGTGGACCAGTTCTGTCTCTGGCTGTGCACCGACTGTCTCCGCTTTGACTCGCTCAGGAAGGTCAGTCTGCTAGTTGGAGAATTGTAAGTCATTTCAGTAGCAAATGAGGTCACAGTATGTTGCCACTAACGCATGATTTAGAGAAGATGGCCTGACAGAAGAGTCAAATGTTTCTCTATACATTTTATCTTCGGTGTTCCTTCGTCTCCTTTCTGATAGAGAATCTCTGACTTTAGACCTGTCCATCCATCCATAAAAGTTTGACCATTCTTTACTCTTGTCTAGTTAATATTTAATATGGATGCATTGTGAAGCAGTAACAAATGTTCCTAGAATCTTTCGAATCTAAATTTAGATCTAGCTTGGTTTTAGATACAATAAAAAATGATCTAAAAATTGTATCTAAATGTATAATACAATATTAATATGATGTAAACTTATCTCTAATCTACATTTTCTTTAAAACGAAATATAACTGAGAAAAAAGTATACAAATACAGAGTTATTTTAAATTGTAATAATATTTTCTCAGTATTTTTGTTGCGTATAAGAGACTTCTTTCAAAAAATTCTAACTCACCCCAAACATTTGAATGGTAGAGGTATATAAAGAACATTTTAGCTAATTCACTTGACATTCTGCAAATAAATCATGACATTAATAGTAATGATTATTTTGAGCCCTAATGTTCACATTTTGTTTTATACTTAAGGCCTATTAAATAGAGATGAGAGACCATGACTGTCATATTTTCCAATTGTGTTTTACATCACATTACAGCATCAGTCTACTATTTAGTTTGGCAAAAAGTGTAACAAGCTCATCTATTTCTAAGCCATTAGTTATGTCTTTCTCGTGAGCCAAAATCATCAAATTAATTTTTCTCTCAGAGAAGAATAGTTCTTTGGAACGGTGTTAGGACTCGGGACAGGGTGGAGAAAGAATATGATACTGAGGATAAGCGATTACCAGTGCATGCACTCCAAAAAATGTTCCGGTCAGTGCAGTAATAATAACACTAAATAAATATAAGAAGATCAAAATGATCAACAAAAATTTCAACAGAATATAGAGAAGTCAGTAGGTAGAAAATCGGCAGGTCTTTTCTTGGCTGAGTGTTCATAACTCAATCCCATGTAACTTCAAGCGAAAAAACATGCAAGCCTCAGATACAATTGACAACCCCATAAACTGTGTAAAAAAAAATTTTCTCTAATTAAGAATACATAATAATTTCACACTTTAGATGACTGTGAATCCATCCTTGTTATATTACTGTATTGTGAGGATTTTTGTATGTTGACATGAAGTGTTGTGATTGCTCCTCAGGTGGCTGGGCGGAAGGGTTTCCCTCATGTCATATACACTCGTCTGTGGCGATGGCCGGACCTTCACAAGAATGAACTCAAGCATGTCAAGTTCTGTCAGTATGCTTTCGATCTGAAGTACGATAACGTGTGTGTCAACCCCTACCACTATGAGCGTGTGGTGTCCCCTGGGATTGGTGCGTGTTACTAAAAACACAAACTATGAAACTAACAAAATATTTTTCATCACTTTTATAATTTTAGCAAGGAAATATTTTGATAAAGAATCGGCAATGAATATTTGACTCTATATTTTTTTCTTTCTTCTCAGTGGGATTCAGTTTGCCAAACACAGGTGAGTGAAGCTCTAAATAAATAGTGGAGGACATTAGCACTTGTATTTCTTCTCCACATGTGAAGGAATGTCTCAGGCATTCATCCGGGGCTAATCACTGATGGCCCTGACCGCTACGCTGCTGGCAGCCAGCCTTTAATCAGACAGAGAATGCCATAAAATGTGTCAGATCGAGACATGCAAGGACTCGCCTTGCAGTGAAAGAGACAAACAAGGAACAGGAGTTTGGAAAGGAGCTCAGAGATGTTTTGACACTCGCTCTCATCCCTCAGGCAGGCTGATAAAAGAAGAGCACCTACATAACTGCATCCAGATGGCGGGTCCGTCAAGTATGACCTTACAGCAAGACCATCATCCTCCAGATCACTACAGCCCACAGCCTCTGAGACTGATGTCCCCAGAGCCGTCCCAGCGGACCACTTCCTCGGTCACACTCTACCCCAGTCTGCCCCTCTCTCCACCCTGTATGTACAGCAAAGCATGGACTAAGGGGTTTTGTAGCAAACCAGTGTTGGCAGTATAAACATAAAAAATGAATATAATAAATTTATTAGATATATCTCATAATGCAATTGGACGAATCTTACTGGAAATCATCTAATTGCATTATGGGACATTAAAAATTTTTTATTGTGTGTGTGTGTGTGTGTGTGTGTG